TCTCAATGAGGCCCTCACGGAAGAAAAAAAGAAAAAGTAAAAAGACGAAAATGCCCATGGACTAAATACATTGGGGTAAATGTGTCACAAAAAGCAAAGTTCGGGGTTTTTGGTGTCACAAAAAAGTTCAGGGTAAATGTGTCATATGGAAAGTTTGGGGTTTTTGGTGGTTTTTTCCTTTTTTATTTATTCACTTCATATCATTTTTGCTATACAAAGGAAGAATTAAGGCATTGTAGAATCTTTCATAAATAAAAAAACGCTTCACTTAACTATTGCTACCGAAGCACTTGTTATTTGTTAAGCATATTAAATAACAAATAACTCATTTTTTAGAACAGTGAATACCTGTATCACCGATAAAGTGACAGCATTAAAAATTGCAGTATTTTTTTAATAAAATATTTAACAGGTTTTCCGGATCACTTGCCGACAAAATCCGTTTGAAAAAGCTAAACTAAATATGTCCCATTAAGGTGTGTTCAGACTTAAAAGATAACGTAAGAGCTAAAAGATGTCTGGGCAAAAAAAAAGGAAAAAAGAAAAGAAAGATAAACTATGAGAGGGAAACCGGGACAAAAAGTCTTAGATACTGCATGAAATGACAAAGGTCACATCACCCAATCCAATTTTGGCGACAATAAGTCTGGTAGTGAAGTAAAGAGATCAACTTCATCGGCTTCCTTCAACCTAATATGTAATTTACTTTATACCACATCAATTATCAGAGTATCGGAAGACCGATGCAGTGTAACAATGGATATCAGGGTAGCATCTTAGAACCCTTGTGGCTCAATAAAGACCTCATATGATGTTCTTGATGGAAACAAAAAATAAAAGAGCAGTTATAGATAGGGTCAGGTGTGAGATTTTATAGAACAATTACCAACTGTTTTAAAAGTTTAAGTTATTAGATGAAAGCGTGGTGTATTAATTAAATATTATAACATTTTCCATCATGCTTAGTCTAGTCTTTTTGTTTACTAAGCGTGGACATATTTAATTAGAAAGGCAAATAGGGCATGGATAGATTTGAACTCAAAACCTCCAGTTTTGATATTATGTAAAATTTTGTGGAATTACTGTCAATTATCCTAAAAGTTTAAGTTGTTAAATGAATGCGTGGTGTATTAATTAAATGTTCTAACATTAGGCACTGCCTACAATTTCAACGGTTAGTTATTATCAATCCGATAGGAATGGTGGGGAGATTAGTAGTCATGTGGGATGAGAAGGTGTCAGTGGGAGCAGAGGATAGTATAGAGGAGCTTGTTGACATCATATGCAGGGATCTTACTAGTGGTACAACAATGCGAATCTCCTTTCTTCATGCCTCAACCAATTTCAAGAAAGGCTCCATCTATGGCAAAAGCCGAGAGCTATCCACATTGTCAATAGCCTCCCATGGTTATATATGAGGGATTTCAATGAGATATTATACCATTGGGAGAATGTTGGAAAAAGGGAGGCTGACAACTCTAGAATGGTGGCATTTAGAGAATTGATGAATGACTGTACTTTTATGGACATTGAAAGGAAAGGATGTGCATTCACTTAGACTAATTACAGAGATGAAGTAGAGTTGGTCAGAAAGAGGTTGGATAGAGCCATTTGTAATATGGAGTTGACGGTGTTACATCCAAGGGTGGAAGCCTTTACGTTTCTAGCCATTGGCTCCGACCACAGCCCTCTATTACTCTCTTTGTTTCCTATTCGAGGTGTTATGGTTAGATGATCTTGAATGTAAAGACATTGTCAAAGCGGCCTGGAATAACCAGTTTAATACTCAGCTCGATGTGGTACGCAAATTGAGTAAGGTCGTTGAGGCGTTGGCAAGATGGAGTAGAACGAAGTTTTCAAATGCCCATTGTCAAATTGAAATTCTAAAAAGAAGACTTGCCGGGCTGATAAATTGTTTTGATGGTATGGTAAAGAATTCAAAATAGATACTCAACAAGACCCTTAATTTAAAGCCTTCCTTCTTTTCTCCTCTTCAAATTCAATCCAGGCACCTATAGAGAAAGATCGGATCGATATTCATAACACTATATGAGTTTTCTACTATCATAACTCAGCTAACATCATGTGGCTTCTCTAAACCAAGTGAATCAGATAAAAAAAAATGAGATGACTTAGATGAATAGTTGATAAGATAACAAACATTTGTTGCACAACTCGGGCTCAACATTTTTTGGTGAAAGGGAACTATGAGATCTATTTAAAATGTGTCATCTAATGCTACAGACCGACTCTGAGGCAATGATAATGATAGGAATGTTCAATATATCATGTGCCATGATAGACAAATTAGGATACCGTTGTAGATACGTCTTCGAGTAATCAAGAATAGTGAGATCCAAGTAATGCTTTATATCAAGCCTATTCTCTCCCAAATATAAATCTAATTCTGAGTTAATAAATTGTGAGCCAAGGTGTTCTTCACTCTCAAGTAATCATACTCATCAATATTGTTCTGCGTATTCTCAACAATGTCCTCAATTGAAATAGTATCTTGAATAGTTTAAAATGTATAGTGATCCTCAATTAAATATAAATTTGTTGTGGGATATCTAACTCTAGAAAGAGAGTAGAAATATCATAGAAAAATGCAATTTTTTGTTTAGCTCTTACCCAATCCTCATGTGATTGACACGAGAGAAAGTTCAATGAGAAAATGCGTGTTGAAAGACAAGCACACCTTCAAGTACTAGGTATGTAGAGTTCTATCTACTAGCTACATCTTAACGTACCTTTTTATGGCTCTTTAAGCACGACTATAATATGTTGGATTTCAAATTTCCCTTCTCTGTTTCATAAAATTTTACCACATCACTTCTTGTTGCATTCCTTGATATGTGCTTCACATTGGAGTTGAGGTAGCTAAGCAAATTTGTAATAGCCTCAAGCTGCACAAAAGAATATATGTAATTGTGTTTGATTATTGCTCTTGCTAGCATGTCTCTAAGCACACTTAAGCCGAATTGTATCATAGAGAATCGTCAAGATTGGCCTCTAAATTGGGACAAGTACGTAAATAACATATCAAATTTTTTTGTCCCAAGGTTAGCCATGTAATTTAGTTCGCACTACTTATAGTTAGACCTTTTTCTTGCCATCATCATCCGTGCGGTTTTTCCAATTCAGAACATACATTCAAAGTGCATCTTTTCGATTGTTTATCAAATGGAGTTATTTTCCTCATCCTTATAAACTAAGGATGTGACTCTTCTTCTATTGGATTGGCGGTTGAATATCTTTCTTGATTCTCGTTAGATCTTGACATGTCAACTAATTAGTCAGAGAAAACATGAATCAAGTTGTATATACTGAAAGGCAAGATAACATATTGTATTTTTATCAAACACTTGGCGGTGCTGATTCACATCCCAACCCAATTATCAGCCGTTGAAATAAAGATTAGCCATGACCATCGGGAACTGTCAATAACGATATAACATATAGTTTCAACAGCACTGGATATCAGAGAGTTCTGATTCATACAAAAAGTAGCAAACGGCATTCACAAACGTTTTAATATCCCCACCTAATCATGAATGGAAGCCACAACAATAAAAATTGAAGAGTACAGTTTTATACTGAGAATCAAGGACGCACCTGTAATGGTCCCAAGCTCGGTGGAGGACGAAGCGAATGCCTTCGGGTCAAGATTTGGCGCGACCTGATACAACTGCGAGAGTGAATGAAGAAGGTTGTGCTCGTGTGTGCAGGAACGAGCAATAGAGAACAGTAGTCTGATAGGACATTTACTTACTTTCCTTGTATTTAAATGGGCCAAAAATGGGTTCGCTAGAAATCCATCAAGACTCAATCTGGTTGAATTTAATTTTTTAAATCCACTCACTTAACTCTTTAAATGTTTTTTTTTTTGGTTAAAGTAAGTAGTAACTCTTTAAATGTTTTTTTTTTTGGTAAAGAGTAACTCTTTAAATGTTTGAACAACCCATATACAATAATAAAAATATGAGTCGAGGAATGTTATCCATGACCAATTTTGACACCTCTAAGTGACAGTAGTAAATTATGGGCTCGCGGAAAACTATTGGGACCAAAGCGACATGCGTCCTCTATCAGGAAAGATATCACGGGCACGAGAGAGATGCTTAGAAAGGGGTAGTCTATACCAGGTCGGAGATGGGAGGTCCACTGAGGTTGGAATACATTCATGGCTGCCATTACTAGAGCCTGGACTAAGAGGGTATCTTGGACAGCAACTTGTGCGGTGAAAGCCGATGCAGTGTTGGAGTTGGCGAATACTTCGGGGACTCTTGTTTCTCACACCGGGTACGCTCACGTGAGCTTAGGGAAACTGAAGTGTTATCCAACGACATGTGACCCCTGCGTGTGGAATGCGGGGGTTCGGGGGCAGCGCCCCCGACACGGGTGTCCCGCTACCCGGTCAGCGGGCGGGGGTTCGGGGGCAGCGCCCCCCGAGTCAGCGGACGGTTGCCCCGCTCGCCGGTGAGCGGGCAGGGGCTCGGGGGCAGCGCCCACGAAACCTCAACGAGTTTGGGCTGGCCCGTATGGTGCGAGATTAAGAGATTTCGTATAGGTTTAGGTTTTGGGCCCGTTTGGGGCACATATATATTTTGCTCGTTTTTCTGATCATTGTAACGAGTTGAGTGGCTATAAACCGAAAATATAGTGAAATCTCTTTGCAGGACGTAACCCTAATCGAGGGTGAACCTGGATAAATTCGTGCATCGTCTATTTTCTCTGATTTCTGCGTGATTGTTCTGTTTCGGTTCTCGATACATCCCTTCATGCAGTACTGTTTGCTTGTCAAATAGCGTACCAACTGAACCAGCTAAGTCTTGATCAAGTCATTTTTTAATAGCAGAAATCATAAAAGTTTTGTCAGTTTCTTATAATTCAGTTTGGATGCGATTTATACAAAATCAGTCCAACCAATCTGCTTATTTTATGGCCAGTATGCCTTCGAACCACCAACTCCAAAATTTTGGCATTTACTTTCACCGGACAACATCGATGTTGCGCTGTCTCCCCCGCTAAGGATTCTTCTATAAAATTGAACCCCACAAGAAGCCAAAGAAAAGCAAGTGACTCACACAAGTTCTTAGTTCTTACTTAGCCAAGGCACAAGAAGAGCTTTCTCAGTGTGTGAGAGAGTGTTTGGATAGATGGGTGAAGAATTGAAGCTATTGGGTATGTGGGGGAGCCTGTTTAGCCGGCGAGTCGAGATGGCTCTGAAGATCAAAGGGCTTAAATATGAGTACTCGGAGCAGGAAATATTCCACAATAAGAGCGCTTCGCTTCTCAAGTACAACCCAGTGCACAAGAAGGTACCCGTGCTCATCCACAATGGCAAACCCATCGCCGAATCTCAGGTGATTCTCGAGTACATTGACGATACATGGAAGGACCACCCGATCTTGCCACAAGATCCGTACGAGAGAGCGATGGCTCGTTTCTGGGCTAAGTTCTTGGATGAAAAGGTAATCATCTCATCTTAAAATTGAGGTTGATGCTCTCTGTAACGTCCTCATTTAGGGTGGAAGATAATATTAGTTCATCATCTGTGAAAGTAATGAAACCGGCCAGGTATTATGGTAAGGTAGTTGCGGGATAAACAGGGTTGGCTTTGACTAGTGTGGAAGACATTGAAAAGTGCGAGATTCGAAACTGTGAAGTATGTATTTGCCAGGTATATATCTGGGTTTTGAAAGACTAAGCATTCGAAAGTCAACAGGTATCGTCAAGAACCATTTCTGTAATTAAGTCCTTCATACGTCTGAGGAACACCGAACGTACACTAAAGCTTGCACTAGAGCACATGGGCATCTCGCGGTTTCAAATTATAATATTGCAATTAATATTGATTGAGGCATCAAGCGTGCACTGAACGAATCTACCTATGATTTTTTTTTTTATGTTTTAAGTAGTGATTGTCTTGAAGTATACTCATATATCTAGTCATCAAATACGAAAGAATATGCGTTTTCTAAACATCATGAATATACTTCACAAAATGAATAATCATACCGGAAGTCGTAGACCATTCATGGTAAAAAGGTAACAAAGTCATAATCCTTTTGATTAATGCAATAGTCCTAATCTTATCGAGAAGAGATGTAACGCCATGTCCTCCGAGCTATGGCTTTCATGACTTCTTTGACAAGACAATCTTGAAAGGGGCGTATCCAATTATCATATGATCTGAAATTATATTACACAAAAGAGAGAGAATCAAGGATTTGTTACATTTTATGTACGAAAAATATTTAGGATTTGAATTTTCAATGTAGTCTTCCTCTCGATGATGATAATTTTAGACTTCGATCACCACAAAAGTCTGAATTTTTTAGTTACAATATGTGATAACAATTTCTCTTGCTAGATTAATTCATGACCACAAGATCATTTGATCAAGAAAATTATGTTCTTTCCACTATAAATAGTGCGTGCCAGCTCTCTGGAAGGCCTGCATGAGCGTAGGGCCCGAGAGGGAAAAGACACAGGAGGAAGCATGTGAGCTCTTGAGCACTCTCGAAGGCGAGCTCAAGGGCAAGAAGTTCTTCGGAGGCGAGAACATCGGGTTCGTCGACATCGTGGCCGACGTGCTCGGGTACTGGGTCGGAGTCCTCCAAGAAGCGGTCGGGGTCGACGTCTTGACCGAGGACAAGTTCCCCGTGCTGTGCAGGTGGGCCGAAGACTTTCGGAATTGCCCGGTCGTCAAGGAGAATCTGCCTCCAAGGGACAAGCTCTTGGCCTTCTTCATAACTCAATCCGAGATGTTAAACAGCCTTCAGCAAAAGTGAAGTGCGAGTTTGGGGTCGTCCTTGGGTCGTGGTGTGATTGGGTTCTTGTGTTCGAGTCAGGGCTTTTTAGTAGTAATAAAGCTGATCCAAGTGGGGTTTTAGGGGTCTTGCATCTTGATAGTGGTGGCCCGTGATAATCATGGTTTACTTAACCATCAATTTGCCGTAATTTGCGGGTGTTCTACGTGCTATATATTTCCTTTTTTAATTGAATAAAGGAAGTTCAAAATGCCTTTTTTCTTCATGGGCATGACGAATGGATCAACCAGTCTAGTTGACGAAAAGCTAATGCTATTTGTCGTACTTCTAGTGCCCATAAATTTTCATAATCACAATGCCGTGGTGGTCTCTGCTTCTGTCAAACAATTGATCCAAGAAACTTCGAATTCTCGTCGTTTGATTTAACGGATGTCAAAAGGAAATTAGCAATGAGGATGCACCATCGCCCAAGTCCAACTCCATCGGCCTCGGAGCCCTAAACAGCTTCATCGCCACACTCTCCTCCACCTCCCCTCCCTCAACACCTCCGCCTCCTCCCTGGACCTTTCCGCCACCATTGCCCCGCCTTCGCCAGCAGGTCCGCCGACTTATATCCCTCCCCATCTGGCCCTCCAGCTTCTCGAGGAAGTCCGCCATGGTGTCACCCTCTGGCTTCGACCGTGTCGATTTCTCATCGTCAGAAAATTTAAGAAATTCGGGGATTAGGATTTAGTTTAGAGATTTTGGAAATCGGGGTTTAATTAGGGATATTTGGATATAGAGTTCAAACAATTTTGGACAAAAATGTCCCTTTCCATGGCACGAATAATGGCGTGACATGCACGTTGTTGTCCGGCAAAGATTTGTGCCGCCGATATAATGGGGTCAATTGAGACAAAGTCACCAACTTCAGGGGCTAATTTGAAGACACCATTCCAAGGGTACTTCGGAAAAAGTCCCACTTCAAGGGCTCTTTGTATGGAATGACATATTCTACCCCATTTATATGAAACTAGTTTTTTAACCTGACAATATCATTAAACATGCAAAATTACACGAAAATATAATAATCTATGATCAATGACAATATGGGATAATCTAAAGTACGATATAATTTTATAAATAGCAGTACTGATGCACATACAATGTGTATCCCTCTGGTCCATCACCTTTGTTCTGGGCCGGCACCAGTGTTCCGCATTTGGGTACTATGGACCAGTGTTCGAGCACCCGGGTCCTAGGGCCTGGTCGTTGGGGACCCAAGCCCGACGACCCAGCCCGAGGCCCCGGGGTCCTAGGTCTAAGCGTCGGGAATGTTGGTCTGAGCGTCGGGTCCTCGAGTCTGTCAATTAGGCACTGGGGTCTAATCATCCGAGATAGTCTTGTAGCAGCGAAGATCAAGCCGTATTCTGAAAATTGATTTTCAGTAATTTGAAAAAGGAAGTTGTTTTTGTGATTTTAAGTATAGATTTTCTGCTGATTAGAAAATTTTCTTTTCCGTTTTCTCTTCTTCTTTTTCCACGCGATCCAAACAATAAAAAAATAAGAAAAAAAAATTCCAATACTTGAAAGTTTACGAAACAAAGGAAGCCCCAAAGTAAAAGTCACCATTCAAATCTAGGCTCCCAAGTCCCACCTGCCTGCCGGTCCAAGTGGAGCACCACTAGAAAATTAGGAGTTCAAGTCCAAATTGGATTACACCATCATATGATAAAACTTTGTCACTTTCTTACAATTCTGTCCACGCTGAACAGTGTATTAGACTATCTCCACCTCTGAATTGAATATTTCTCATGGTGTGCTATGGATCAAAATTGACTTCAGCCAATCTGCTCAATTCTTGGCCAGCAAGTCTCGAACCACCAACTCCAGAATTTTGTGTCATTGACTTTGTTTGAGTGAAAATTTTTAACGTAAATTAGTTTTTTGAAATTTTCACGTATTTGACTTGCTAAAAATGATCACCCAACAGAAAAACATTAACAATTGAAGAAAATATGCATACTTACGATTAAGAAAATGAATTCCCTAATGTGAAAAGGAGAAAATATTTTCCTAAAAAAGGATTTTCCGGAAAACTTTTTTCTTTATCGCAAGATTTTCCCAAAACAAACATGCCCTAATATTCAACCCTATAAGAAGCCAACCAAAACATGTGACTCTCACAAGTTCTTACGCAGCTACTACACAAGAAGAGGGTTTCTGATCTAGCAAAAAAAAAAAAGAGTGTTTCTCAGTGTGTGGGAGAGTGCACGACTGTGTTTAGATAGATGGGTGAAGAATTGAAGCTTTTGGGTGTGCGAATCAGCCCATTTAGCTGGCGAGTCGAGGTAGCTCTGAAGATCAAAGGGGTCGGATATGAGTACTTGGTGGAGGAGGACGTACTCCACAACAAGAGCGCTTTGCTTCTCAAGTACAACCCCGTGCACAAGAAGATACCCGTGCTCGTCCACAACGGCAAGCCCATCGCGGAGTCTCAGGTGATTCTCGAGTACATCGACGAGACATGGAAGGACAACCCGATCTTGCCGCGAGATCCGTACGAGAGAGCGATGGCCCGTTTCTGGGCTAAGTTCTTGGATGAAAAGGTAACCATCTCATCTTTAAGTTGAGCGTGATACTTTCTGTAAGCCACTCATTTAGGTTGAATTAACACCTAATTATGCAAAAGTTGAAGTGGACACGAGAGGATTGATGTGCTGATCAGAGTGACAAGTCCTTTGTGTTACAAAGAAATGAAAGAGCTTTGTGACTATGAGTGACATGAAGACCGGAAATATTAGTTCATCATCCGTGATAGCAATGAAACCGGCCGGATATTATGGTAACGAAGCTGGGGCATCTCGTATGTTCAATCCGTAAGACCGTGATTGATACACATGAGCGACTGACTAAGTCTATGATTCTTTTCTATGTATGGATTAGTGAATGCCTTAATAGTGACCTCATATATCTAGTCTTAAAAGGAGAAACAATATGCATTTTCTTACCACCATGAATATAAACGATACGGCAGGCACTGACGTTGACAATTTTTTTTAAAAAAAATTGAATTATACTTTCTTTTTTTTCTTACTATAATTTTGGTCGGCAAGGGTTGCACTAGGTGAACCGGCCGCTGGCCAGGATTGCCTCGCCAGCAGCCGGCGGGGACACAAAGGCCCTCGACAGATCTGAGCAAAGCCCTCGCCAGCCGCAAAGGCCTCGCCCAGTCTAGGTGAGGGCGCGAAGGCCCTTGCCCAAATCTAGCGAGAGCTTGCTAGCCCATGCCCAGTGGCTGACGATCTTCACCGGCTAAAATGAAAGGAAAATTAGAAAAAAAAAATTAATAAAAATTGTTTGTATTGGCGCCGGCCATGCCACGTAGGATGGTTGGCGTCACGTTAGCAATTTCCAATCAAAATTGGATAGTGTACTCAATTGAAAAAATATGAACAGGTTTAAGATTAAATTGGCACAATTGAAAAGTTTATGATTAAATTTGCACCAATGCAACATGTTTAGGATTTTCTTTGTACTTTCCCCAAAATATATTGGACTTGAATTTCCGATATGATCTTCCTTACAATAATAATAGTTTTAGAATTTGATCACCACCAAGGTATAAGTTTGTGAGTTACAATCGGTGACCAGAACGCCTTTAGCTAGATCTAGTTCATGATCACGAGATCATTTGACCAAAAACAATTTCGCTCTTTCTACCTTGAACAGTGCATCCCAGCTCTCTGGAAATCCAGCATGAGCGTAGGGCCCGACAGGGAAAAGGCACATGAGGAAGCACGTGAGCTCTTGAGCACTCTCGAAGGCGAGCTCAAGGGCAAGAAGTTCTTCGGAGGCGAGACCGTCGGGTTCGTCGACATCGTGGCCAACTTCGTCGGGTATTGGGTCGGAGCCATCCAAGAAGCGGTCGGGGTCGACGTCCTGACCGAGGACGAGTTCCCCGTGCTGTGCAAGTGGGCCGAAGAGTTTCAGAACTGCCCGGTCATCAAGGAGGCTCTGCCTCCAAGGGACATGCTCTTGGCCTTCTTCAAGGCTCACCACGAGAAGATAACTAGCTTTTACAAAAATAAAGTGTGAGGTTTTGGGTCATGCTTGGGTCGTAGTTTTATTGGGTTCCTGTGTTTGTGTTCTGGCTTTTTGGTCGTAATAAAGCTGATTCTAGTGGTACGTTAGGACTCTATGGCATCTTGGTAGTGATGATCAGTAATAACGAAAAAGTCATGGTATAATTAAGCATCGTTTTGCTGTGATTTTGTGGTGTTCCACATGCTATATGTATGTCCTCCTTCTGGAATAAATGAAAATCCAAATGCCTTTTTCCTTCTTGTACAATGTGCATGATGAATGGCAAGTCTGATAAGCTCTTGCCAACTGTCTTAGACAGATTACTTAGAGTTTGGACATTCTGGTCATGGGGTTCGTTAGTCGACATATGTCTTGAGAGGTCCATTTCGAGAGTTAACGAAAAGCTAATGGATTTTGAGACTGACCAACTGAATTACTATTGCTATTCAGATTATCTCATGCACTCCAAAACTAGACATATGAAACTTATGTCTGCCATTGTCTCTTATTAGAATTAATGGAACTTGCTGAAATAAACATAAATACAAAAAAACTAAAATTGGATGAAGAAAATTATACCGGTGGATCTCATACATACACAACATTCACTTATGCTTTACGCAGTTGTTCTCATCCACATTTCGCCCTCTTCAACAGCGTTTGGGGTAACTTAAATCACAAAACTTCGTACAAAGAGACGAGCAGCATTGTAATCTTACTACTAACATGTGTGGAGAATCTTGTTGTTTTTGTTTGAGGCACAGTGAATGACAAACCCTTCATCCTCTATTTTTCACGTGATCTTGATTGGAAGCTTGAGAAAGCAAATGACATTATTCTTTTTTCTTGATGGTGGGTTCAATCAGATTTCGCCCGACTAATGCTCGAGGATCCATGAACACCCTGCTAGTTAAGACCCAGTTAAGTCATTGGTTTCGCTTGGACAGATTGCCCACAAGAAATCGATAGAACTCCTCAGACGGAGGGGATCGAACTCGCGACGTGGAGTCGCATGCTGAATCCCGTCCAACCGAGCCAACTGCTTGGGGTTAAGATGATGACACTATTGTTCATATTGAATGACAAGTTTTTTCACGATTATGGAAAATAACATAGTAATATAATAATTTAAGATTCATCATAAAATAGAATAATTTAAAGCACACTATAACATATATCAAAACTATAAATATTTTGTAATTAGTAGTAACTCTGCAAATACAATGTGTAACCCTTTGTTACGGGATCAACACCAGTGTTTTGTGTTTGGGCACCAGGGACCGATGTTCGAGCACCCAGGTCCTAGGGTCAAGTCGCTAGAGACCCAACTCAAGCCACCGAGTTCTCAAGTCCAAGCGTTAAGAATGTGGGTCTGAAAGCCAGGTTCTCGAGATTTTCTGTCAAGTACCTGAATCTGATTATCTGAGATGGTCTTGTTGTGGTGAAAATCAAGCGGTATCCTGCAAATTAATTTTAAATTTTTAATAGGAAATTATTCTCCTAATTTTAAATTAGATTTTCCCTTTACTATCCGTTTCCTTTTTCCACATCCAAACATCAAAAAATAAGGAAAAAATCTTTCCACACTTAACCCGTTTTGCAAAACAAGTGAAGCCTAGTGAAAGCCACTTTAATTAACCATCGTGTCTACCGTAGCTTTCTTGACCCCAGCTAAGCCACCAACTGCCCGCCGGTGCAGTGGAGTACCGCTAGAAATCAGTAGTCATCTTGCGAATGACATGCTAAAACATTGTATCCAACCATCCCTATCTCTAAACTGAATATTTTTATTTGTGAGTAGACCTATTAAATGAGTCTTAAAACTCATATATGACTTATTTAAAAAATAAATGAGTCATAAATTGATCAATATAACTTTGAAGAGCCCATCTTAAATGGATCTTAAAGTTTTAAGCCTATAAATCAGGCCGGAGCGGGTTTTCAGAATACCCAACCTAACCCAAAACACTACACATGTGTGCTTGACCCGGACTAACCCGACCCGAACAAAAACATAACCTTAACAATCTTGTTGGGTCGGGTCGGGTTCTTGTTTCAAAAGAAAAACGCAGCATTCATTCGATCAATCCACGCCATTTGTCATAACTTCGTCATTCAGTACAAGTAAGTTCAAAAGAATACAATTTTCTTTTGCCCAGGATCAAACTCTCGGGGGAACGGTGTCATACCGTTGTCGCCTCTTAGGAACTTGCTGGAATTTGTGCCTCACCATTGATGGAAAGCCAAGCTGGACAGAACAACACTAAAACTGCAGCAATGGCAACGATGGAAGACCATCAGCAAATTCTCGCTGCAAAACCCATCCTTTTGTAGTGGATCATCAGCAGCGAAACAAAAGCGAATGCGAAGGTGAGCATGATGGAGGACGTTTTTTTTTTTGTCAGAACGATGGACGACGTTAGCGCTCTGAAGGTCGACGAGTCTCGCCTGAGGATCGACGTCGGAACAAGGGTAATTCTTCCGAGTGCTGAGAGCCAGAACCTTCTTAACCAGAGGATTCGACTCTTAACCCTCATTTTCATTTTGCTTCCAGGGATCTGAAGACATCGCTTCATCCCAGCTCCCAAAACTAGTTCATCCCAAATCGATCCCCCATCATCATCGTGAAGCCTCCGTCATGAGATTCATCATGATGGTCACCTTTGCGGTCGGCAATTCAAAGACGCCTTGGGCCTACTGGAGGACCATGTGAGCGAGAGGAGGAAAGGAGACTACGATTCTAATTGTGTTCTCGCCGATGGATGAAGAAGGCGCACTGGGTTCATCCTTCTACTGTACGGTGGTTGAGGGTAGGGTTTGCTATTGTTTCTGTGTTTGGGCTCGGGTATAAAACAAGCCCAACAGATTCATAACAATACCCAATCCTTTTTAATGTTACCCGAAATAAATTAAGGCTCAACCTGAAAAGGCTGAAATTTTTCGGGTCAGTCTGTGTTTAGTCGGGTTCTTTTTAAATGGGTCTTAATGAGTTGAGTGTGGAACCCATTTCCAACCCACTCATTAAGCCCATCCATTTTTATAAAAATCGAATTTTTTTTATTTTTCTTTTTTCTTTTCTTTTCTTTCTTTTATATTTTATTTTTTTTATCTTTCTCTTTTCGGCCGGTGGCTGGCCACGGCGACGACCGGCCACCTGCCACAAGGGAGGAACAACCTCACCGGCCTGTGGCGAGGCTTCGACCTCGCCAATTTGGCGAGACTTGAGGTCGCCAGCCTCGAGCAAGCTCAAGGTTGCCGATCTGGAGAGGTCGAGGCCCTGCCGGCCTCAGGCAAGGTCAAGCTCACCTGAGGCCAGCGAGCTCGAGTCTCGCCACAGGCCGGCGAGGCCGAGCTCGCTTGATTCCGGTGAGTCCGAGGCCTCGCCAGCCTTGGGCAAGCTCTAACGCGCCGAATCTAGCGAGACTCAAGCTCGCTGGCCTCGGGCGAGCTCGACCTCGCCAGATCCGGCGCAGTCGAGCTCGCCCAAGGCTGGCAAGGCTCAGCTCGTCGGAATCGGGCAAGGTCGAGCTCGCCTGAGGCCGACGAGGCCTCGGCCTCGTCAGATTAGCGAGCTCATCCTCACTCGTGGCTGGTGGCCGGACGCCGACTGTCGTTGTGGCCGACCACTGGCCAAAAATAAAGGAAAAATTAAATATTAATATTAAAAATAGTTAAAAATTGGATTTTAAAAAAAATAAAAAATAATAATTAAAAATTAAAAATTGTATTGTATGAAAATGTTTTAGTAGTATAATTTTTAAAAATATATAAGAAATAAGTTTTCCTATATTGAGTTAAATATAGAAGTGTTTTAGTAATATGGGTCGGGTCGGATATGAAGGAAAAATTAAATATTAATATTAAAAATAGTTAAAAAATTGGATTTTAAAAAAAATAATAAATAATAATTAAAAATTAAAAATTGTATTGTATGAAAATGTTTTAGTAGTATAATTTTTAAAAATATATAAGAAATAAGTTTTCCTATATTGAGTTAAATATAGAAGTGTTTTAGTAATATGGGTCGGGTCGGATATGGGTTGGGTATGGATCGGGGTGGGTATAGATCGGGATATTTACATTATAAATAAATGGATCATAAACGGGTTAATGGGTCAATTTGGGTCGGATCATTTATGACTCGGTACAAATCCGACTCGATCCACCCATTTAATAGATCTATTCGTAAGTGATGTATTTATGTTCAGCTCAGCCAATCTGTTCATTTCTTGGCCAACAAGTCTTGGAAACTGAAAATTTTTCGTAGAATTGACTTCGTCTAGACAACATCCACCAATAACACTTCATTTAGATTTTGAAGCATTGACTGTGACCAAACAACATTGATGTTGATGGGCTGTCTTCCGCGCTAAGGAATCTCTCCAATTGAACCCCTATAAGAAGCCAACGGAAGAACACGCGACTCTCACAAGTTCTTATTAGCCACTAACTACACAAGAAGAGAGCTTCTCAGAGAGTGTGAGAACCCGCGACCTTGTTCGGATAGATGGGTGAGGAATTGAAGCTATTGGGTGCGTGGGGGAGCCCGTTTAGCCGGCGAGTCGAGATAGCTCTGAAGATCAAGGGGGTCGAATACGAGTACTCCGAGGAGGACATATTCCACAACAAGAGCGCCTCGCTTCTCAAGTACAACCCCGTGCACAAGAAGGTACCCGTTCTCGTCCACAACGGCACACCCATCGCGGAGTCTCAGGTGATTCTCGAGTACATCGACGAGACATGGAAGGGCAACCCGATCTTGCCACAAGATCCGTATGAGAGAGCCATGGCTCGTTTCTGGGCTAAGTTCTTGGATGAAAAGGTAACCATTCTCGTCTCAAATTTGAGCTTGATGCTCACTGTAACGTATTCACTCAGGTTGTGTTAACACTTAATATGCAAAAGTTGAAGTGAACACCAGAGGTTTAATGAGCCAAGCAGAGTAATAGCTAGAAGATAACATTAGTTCATCATATGTGAAAGTCATGAAACCGGCCAGGTATTATGGTAATGTAGCTGCAGCATAAACTGCGGGGTTGACTTTGGCTAGTGGGGAAGACATTGAAAAGTGCGAGATTCGAAACTGTGGAGTATGATAGGCTAAGCTGAATCTTAGGGTCGAGTACTCGTACTGCCTGTATTTGCTGGGTTATATCTGGGTTTTGAAAGATCAAGCATTCGAAAGTCAACAAGTATTGTCTGAAACCATTTCTGTAATTATAGTCCTTCATACGTCTGAGGAACACTGAACGTACACTAAAGCTTGCTCTAGAGCACATGGGCATCTCGTATTTCCGATCCCTAACATTGTAATTAATACACATGGGCGACTGACTGAGTTTATAATCCTTTTTTTATGTCTGGATTAGTGATTGTCTTAAAAGAAACCTAATACATCTAGTCTTAAAAGGAAAAAGAATATGCATGTTCTTAACATCATGAACATACTTCAGAAACCAAGTAATCCTGTCGGGAGTAGTAGACCTTAATGGTAAAAGGTAACAGGGTCATTATCCTTTCGATTAGTGCAACGGCGCGAATTTTATTAAGATGAGATGTAACGCCAAGTCCTCCTAGAAATGGCTTCCTTCTAGGCTTCCGTGACTTCCAACATGACAATCTCGGAAAGACCATACTGTATTTGCATAAGATTCGAGATTATATAGCAGATAAGAGAAAAGGTCGAGGATTTATTACATAAGGGGTACGAAAATAATTAAGAATTGAATTTCCGATGTAATCTTCCTTTCTATAATAGTAATAATTTCAGACTTTGATCATCACCAAAGTCTTTGAGTTGCAATTGCTGACCACAACCTCTCTAAGCTAGATCTACATCATGATCAGTAGATCATTTTTCACCATAACAATTTGTTCTTTTTACTGTAAACAGTGTGCGCCAGCTCTCTGGAAATCCTGCATGAGCGTCGGGCCTGAAAGGGAAAAGGCGCATGAGGAAGCACGTGAGCTCTTGAGCACTCTCGAAGGGGAGCTCACGGGAAAGAAGTTCTTCGGAGGCGAGACCGTTGGGTTCGTCGACATCGTGGCCGACTTCGTCGGGTACTGGGTAGGAGTCATCCAAGAAGCGGTCGGCGTCGCCGTCCTGACCGAGGACGACTTCCCGTTGCTGTGCAAGTGGGCCGAAGAGTTTCAGAACTGCCCGGCCGTCAAGGAGAATCTGCCTCCAAGGGACAAGCTCTTGGCCTTCTTCAAGGTTCAAGCCGAGATGATAACTAGCTTTTATAAGAATAAAGCGTGAGTTTTGGGTCGTCCTTGGGCCGTAGTTGGATTGGGCTCTCTCTGTCTTGTGTTATGTACTTTGGTTTTAATAAAGCTGATTCGAGTTGGTATTTTAGGAGTCTATTGCATCTTGACGGTGTGGTGATGGTCCGTGATAATGATGAATCATGGTTCAATTAAGCATCAATTTGCTGTGATTTGTAATATTTCGCGTGCTATATGCATGTTTGATCAACAAGCCTGATGAACTCTTACCGTCTAGGACAAATAACTTCGAGTTTGGACAATGAAATCGTAAGCTCTTTAGAATTGAAATCCACAAGAAATTAGTAGCACTCCGTGGTCAGAGTGGATGGAACTCAGGACGTGGAGTCATGCTCGACCCTATACCTTACTCAACGGAGCCAACCCCTTTGGGGCTAAGATGATGACATTATTGTTCTTATTGAATGATAGGTTTTATCAAGATTATTCGAAACCGTTTCTTTAACTGAGGATAACATTAAACATGGAAAATTACACGGTAATCTAATAAATAATAATATGGAATAATTTAAAATACACTATAACATTCAATATAACTACAAAAAAAGAAATTAACTATTGTAACGAGGCACATATAACCCATAATTCTTTGATCCACATTGCCGGAACTATATACAAAGAGCTAAACGAGAATTCTAAGATGTACTAATATTACCGAGTGCATCAAAGTTGCAGTGTTGTCGATTCTCCCGAGAAGGCCATAATTACCGTGAGCAATTACATTGATGATGAGGAATGCATTTTGCCGTGCCATTGATGTTTTTACTTACTCTGCTATTGTGGTCAAGCCTAGTTGAGAAATTAGGTACGAGATGTAAAACAAAAGAAAAGGATACGCTGATTCCGACGGAACATACTCATAAACATGAAATAAAACCAATACGAGACAAAGGATCATTACTCATTTCATCTTTAGAAGTTTTCTTTTCACAAGTGAAATGGTGAGACTAAGATCTGATAGGATGAGAAACAAATGTGAGAGTAGATACGGCATAATCCAAAACGCCGAAAGAAAAACTTAGATGGCTGCAACTTTAGTGGAATCAAGGTTATATAGCATTTCACTTATACATGCCCATTCTATGCCGACCTTGACAGTAAGCCTTGTTGCATTAAAGTCCCACGTCGAATGTGTGTGCACGAAATTAAGTGGTATATAACCCTAATTCCGCAAAAGTAGAAGTTCTCTAGACTCTCTCATTTAATGTGTCAAGGTTCTCCATCAAGATTCGCGTCTCACCTTGTTAGCCAAGTGGGATGGTTTGGAATACGTGGAGGGAGGAATTCTCCTTTTAGTGGTGGTGGAAAATGGAGTTGAGGGTGAACGTGGGTGAATAAATTTTACTGAAAAACCGAAAGTAACCCTTTGAAAGTGAGCTTAACTCACTGATGCTTAAGGATAAATGACCTAATGGACGATAAAAGCTTTCATAGTTTTTATTTGCCAGAATCTTATCTAACTTTTGAAATCATAACTATTACAGAATTAGAGAGGACAAAACATTTTTGGACATCTCATCTCCATTCCATTGTTATTCTGTAGAAGTTAAGGAACCGGTGGGCCGTGTAAGCCCGATCATCTTTTTGGTGTGAGTTTCAACTTTTCGGACGCTATGCAATGCTAAGCTAAAAAGAGGGGGCCTATCACTTCACTTTGGACAGACAAACACAAAGTCCGAGTCCCTCGAGGTTATGTGGCCCATGAGTCTCTCCTCTCTTCTATGCCCAAAATTTGGGCCTCGTTTCGCTCGTCTTCTAATTGGATTCTATCACGTAAGAAGAGCCGTTTCGGTTCCTATTCTTTATTACGTGAGAATGAGATGAGATGCCGGTTCCTTTCGTGCAACCTGTTCTTGCGTATGCAGTTGGTGTCCTCAGTCGATTTATCTACTCCGTACGTATCCCTCGTCTTGAAGCTCAAAAATGAATTCTGCAGTATCTTAAGTCGTCTCTTGGAGAAGGTACTTGATATGCCCCCAGCAGACGTCTTCTTGGATTCCTCCAGCAGACATCTTCTTGGATTGAGAAAAAAACGATTCCTTACCTGTAGAGACGGAGTGCTTCCTACGAGAATTCTCATATTTACGAGATTTGATTTTAGGACGAAGTTGCTATCCGCGCTGCGCACACCAAATTTCTAGCACTATGATTTCCGTCCTTTTTATGTTATTTGATTCCAAGGCGAATCGATCGAGCCGAGAAGAGAGTAAAAGGGTAGACGAATGATACTAAAGGTACCCGGATTCATTTATGAAAATCGATTCCCCAAGTTATGCGAGGTTCTTATCGAGTGTTCGAATGCGATCTCTAATTCGAATACTCGTCCATATCTAGTCATATCGATATGCAGACCGTCGGTCTCCATTCCACGGTAGATCACATAGGGTTTACATCAGACGTATCATTACCCCTGACGAGGACCGATTAAAGGGCTGGATCACATGCCTAAAGCTAGGGGCATATGGTCGTTGCTCTCTTTCTAGACGAGCACCATATACACATCACAATTGTCAAGACAGGAAGACACAGAGACCCTCCAACACAAAGTACACGACAAAACCTTGATTAAGGGACGCAAAACCCCGCTTTCGCCCGCTAATTAAGGCGGCCTTGTTCCACAATATTCCATTCACAGTTCCAGACCCCCCCATTCCGTGGGCCCATTCTCTGCTCAATCGTTGTTTACAGCTAATCAACTACTAATTAAATAAGCAGTCCAACTCTGCAGGCTTCTGATCCGACCTGCCTCTCTCTTTTTCTTGCTGGTGCTCTGTATTAAAAAAAAAAGGAGTGCAAGAAGATCTAATAAGTCACGGAAAAGTTTGTTGGAAAGTGGCAACTGTCGCTCTGTCTAATCCCCTACATTTTGATTGTTTATGTTTTATAGTCCTATCTGAAGTATTCGGATCGAGACAATCGAGTGTGATTCCAACTACTCTTCGTCTCTCGGCCGATCAGAGATCTTCGCACGAGAGAGAAAGTCAAAGCAATGGTTCTTTTAGGAAGTAACTGAATGAGCAGAGAGAGAGAGAGAGAGAAGAAATGAGATCATTTGACCCAAAATCATCTCCCACTTACTGAGAAAATGGCTCCAAACTTTTAAGAACCTTTCCATTTTTTGTTCGACGTAACTCAATGAACCCGTCGTAAGTGAATATGTAACATCTAACATACATGATTCTCTCCTCTTGAACGTTCAGCAACAACACGATTACAAACAAGTGAACCCATGTCACGAGACGGTCATTTTTCAAAATATCCTCGCGGTCTGCAAGCACGAGAACACTCTCTGGCGGAGCTTTTGTTTCGAGTACCACCGGGGATGCGTGCGAGAGGGATTTCCCCTTCGGTCCAATGAGGATGCGACGGGTGTGTACCCGACAAAAGTCCGTCGGGCGAGCAGCCATCGACTTAATTACCATTACTTGGAATGCCATGCCATAGTTGACTTGATCAAATTGGAAAAGGAGCATCTTGTGATGACTGGCGACTATAGCTAAGCTTAGCTTAGCAGAGAGGCACCGCTCCCCCGAGTAGCCCCCCATAGGGGGAAAAGCTACACCACGAGGGCATATGTCATTATCACTAGCCTCGTGTCCTTCGATCTCATGAGGATTCTTAAAAGACATGTGAACCGATGGGGGCCAGGGAATGATCTTTTGCTGCGAAGTTGGACTAATCGTTAAGATAGCAAGCACGAGAGGGAGAGAGAGAGAGAGAGGGAGAGATCATCAAAGGGGGAAGTGGAGACACTGCTATGGAGAAGGAAGAGAGAGGAAGCTGGCCTACCCTTGGCTTTTATGAGGCCCTCCACCACCACCACCCCCACCATTTGAAAAAACGGTGGAAGAGAAAGGAGGGACAAAGGGCAGGGAAAGAGAGGGCATGATGCCAGCAACCTTGAGAATCACTCAAAGAGCAGAAAAGAAAAAAAAGCACCCGTAATTATTATTAAATGCAAAAGAGGAAATTGGGAAATTGGAGGTTGGGGTTTTTGTCAGGCGGTTGATAAACTAAAAGAGTGATTGCCATCATCGCGGGGTCATACGTTGTCAGCTGGGCCGGAGACCAGCTGGATTCCACTCGACACCAGTCATAGTCCACCACTCACGGCTTCGATTTATCATGCAACCCATGATCCGCTGCGGGAAATTGATTCGTGTCTCTTTCTCTACCCCCCCACTTCTGGTTTTTCCTAATTCGGGAACGTATTTAGACGTGAATTGGGAGGCACGCGATCGCTCTCCTTCCTATCACCATCCCATCCATCCATCGATGGGGGCATTGGAAGAGACGCGCAGGGAAAATTGCCCCACCAATCTTGAATTTATTGTCCGAACGTGAATTCGAGTTTAAATCTTTGTTCGAAATGTCAATATAATCATTTCGATGAATTTTCGTCGGAAATCGTTGATCAGCCCGTCCTATGCGGCACACCGTTGTGTTAGCGATTTTCGGCGAAAATTGACGACAATGATTGCATTGGAATTTTGCACGGCAGTTTAGGTATGAATTGGAAAAATTAAAATGTTCGTGACTGAATCGACATACGTGCTATAAGTTTAGGACTGACTGAACGATTTTCGCAAGATGAGAGATATTCGGAAAAACATCTTTCGAGAATTTCGATCGATGGATGAGCTCGGCTCCATGTGAGATCCATGTACAAACCTTTCGATTTTGCCAATTGAGTTATAAACATTTTCACGATTTGCCAATTGAGTACATCCGGCCAATTTTAACTGGAAATCGTTGATGTGGAAGCCGACCATATTATTATTATTATTATTATTATTATTATTATTATTATTATTATATTTTTGTAATGATCATTTCAATTTTTTCTCATTTTTCAATAGGTATTGTATGAGTGTTAATTTGTTTTTGGCTATTAAGGGCAAAAAAGTGATTTGACTAAAAAAAAGAAAGAAGAAGAGTTACAATTTTTTGCCCTTGAAAAATCGCTTGCTAGGCATGGCAGACGGCAAAAAGACGGAGGATTGACGATTATAGCATTACGAAAATTGGGAAATTTTTGTTTAACAGTCGAAAGTAAAAAGGACAAAGTGTATCACCATGAAAGTTCAGGAGATTTTTGTATAGTTTTTCTATTTTCATAATTAAAGGAAAAAAGTAGAATTTTCTTCGAGAAAAAGAAAACCCGACTGAGATTGTAGACAAATTCCAAAGTTCATAGCAATGTTGTTCAAGTCACGCCGGCCTTCGGCAAGGGCTGCACCGATCGAAGGCAATGATCCTCTCGGGCAAGGTGCTTGACTGTTGTCGGAGGGCTGCACAACACAAGGGATGTGGTTTTTGCCTCGATCGATTGTGCCAGGTATCGTTGGAGTCTCTGCCCTGCCCTAGTCTCGGCAATTTATGCCCCCCCTGCTTAGGCACGTAGCCTAGCCAAAGGGGGCTTTGGAAGGGACACTTTCGGGGGACTACTTTAAGCAAAAGTCGGTCAAGTTACGAACCTGTTTCGATGAATAAGTTCCAGATTCTAGGTAGGTGGAACGTGGAACTTTGAATAAGTTTTTGTGCTTTTCTTGATCTATGTTTTCGCGTGATCTTGAGGTATTCCATGATGCCCGATAACGAACATATAATCTGGAACCACTAGTCCGAACTTTCATTTTATGACCGAGACTTTTATCTTGTTCATGTTTCATATTTTTCGCGCGTCTAAATATAAGTTAAGGTAGAAGGATTGTAGCAGCAAGAGTGATGACTCACGTACGGAATTACAAGATATGCATGATAAATTTCGGGTTCTAAAAAGTTAGGGATATGTTTTTTAAACGGGTAAGTTACGAATTCCACGTGAAATTTGTACGGAGCCCCGAAACTGTCCGCCTCTACTTTTGATTGATAAAGAAAGATACAAAGATGGGGAAGGGCAGGTTTGGGCAGCAGCCAGGCTCGACGAGGAGGAGGCCAAAAGCTCGATTCGCGCCCGCTTATCGGTATAAGCGAACGTTTCTACTTCACCCTCTCTCTCTCTCTCTCTCTCTCTCTCTCTAATAAAAAAATGTTTTTTCAATAATTTTAGAGATAAGGAAAAGGGTGGGCGGGGCGTGGATAGTGGGGTATTGACCCACGATCGGGTTCAACGAACCCCGATGTTCTGAAAAAATCGCCAAAACTCGCACGACTCATTATGCAACCCCCCCTCCCCCTCCCGAAATAAAAGCAAGAAGAAGTGAAAAAGAGAGGGAGGGAGGGAGAGAAAATCGGGAATTCCAAAATTCAAAAAAAAAAGAGAAAGGGAGACTTCAGAGAGAGAGAGAGAGAGCCGGGGCCTGGCCTGGCCTGGCCCTCGCTCACATGCGATTCTCAACTGCCATTTTTTGTTACCCCTTCTTCCTCCTCCTCCTCCTGTCACACTTCTCCTTCTTCCCTCTCTCTCACTCTCTCCCTCTCTCTGTGCATCTTCTTTGACCTGGCCTCAACGCCGTGGGTCCCACCACTATCCCCCGGCGCGTGCCCCCCACCCCCACTCCCCGCCGCCGCGTGAGCGCTGCGTTCCCCTCGGTCCCTCGTGGTCTGTCTCCCCACCCCGGCTTTTTTTTATAAAGCCAACCTCCTCCCCCCACCCCCTCAGAAGAATGAACCTCTCTGTCTTCATCCCCACCCCACCAACAAAAAATAAGAACGAAAGAAAAAGAAACGTCTCCTTCTTGACACGCCTCTCACTCGCTTCTGCTTTTCTTAAAGCTACTCTCTCTCTCTCTCTCTCTCGCCCCTAAGTCTCTCAGCCCCGCCATCTCACTAGCGCTCCGAAGCTCTCTCGCTCGCCTCTTCTTTTGGCGCTTGAACATGGCCATGCTCGATGCTCTGGACGACGGGGAGTTCTGGCTCCCTCCCCAGTTCCTCGCCGACGGCGGCGACCCCTTCGACTTAGTCGCGGCGGCGGTTGCTGCGGCCGCCGCGGCGGAGAAGAAGGGCCTCGGCCCTGGCTCCAACCCTTGCTGCGGTGGGTACTCGGGCCTCAGCTCTCCCGTCGAGTCGGTGTTCGGTTCCACGGAGACCGAGAGCGACGAGGAGGACTTCGTCATCGCCGACCTCACCCGGATAATGGCCGCCTCTGCTCTTGGCGGGGAGGGTCTCAAGAAGCCCACCTTCTCTGATTTTGCTCGTGCTTACTCCAAGGTACCGTCCGAACACGATGGGCTGTCCAGTTCTGCGCGCTGGCGTGTTCTCATTTTCTCAGAAATGTCAAATGTAATGAAAGTTTCGTTGTCTCTATTCCCCCCCCCCCCGCTCTTTTTTCCCCCACCTTCAGGGACGGTGTCTGTCTGTTTCGCCGCAATCGACGCTGTGCGGTTGCCGTCAAGCTCGGCCGCCTTTACAGGCCTCGTCTCCTCCGGGCGACTGGGATCTGCTGCGCGAGGCCGCCGGGGAGGCTGCGAGGATGAGACTCCACAAGTTGCAGCAGCTTCACGAACTCGAGCGCGGCACAAATGTCCCGGGTCATTACTTTTACCCGAGGCAAATCGCTGCGAGCCCCATCCCTCCGGCGAAGAACCCTAACTCGAACGTCAATTTTTACCCACACCAGTCGCTTTCCTACCAGCTGATGCTGTTCGATCAGGTTCGCTTGGAAACCCTCACACACACACGCTTGAGGCTCGCTGTGCAAAGACAAAGTTGAAACACCGTGTCTGAGCTTCAGATATTTCGTTTTTGTTTTTGTTTTTGTTTTGTGCTGCAGCAGCTGAAACAGCAGCAGCAGCGAGATTCTGGGGCTTGGGGATCGCAACCGAAAGCGACGCAACAACAGCAGCGAATGGTGGTCCATCAAGTGGCGAGAGACGACGACGCTATTGTCTTTAACCGGAACGGTGGTGGCCGGACCACCCTGGGCTTGTCCCCGTCTGCATGGCCTTCGCTCCAGCAGTCGCAGCGTCCGCCACAGCAGCAGAGCGGCCGCCTCCAACACCACCAACTCCAGAACGGCACGGGCATGCGGACGGTGCTCCTCGGCACTCCTCCGGCCGCCGCAAAGAGGGAGTGCGCCGGCACCGGCGTGTTCTTGCCCCGCAGAGCCGGGTCTCAACCCGAACCCCGCAAGAAGCCCGGTTAGTAGCTTCTCGTTCCATTCTCGGTCTAAAATCTGAAGCAAAAACTTTTTAGTGCGTCTTTTCTTTGGGCGAGTCGTGGGTGTGCAAACGTCATCCACGCATAATGGGGTGATTTTTGACTGGCGATTCATGGTTCCGGTAACAGTGGGTTGGTGAAGAGCAGTAGATGCTTTATTTATTGCAAACATTTATTGACCCGTGATCTTTTCATTCTCGCTTCTGGGTTTTTTTTTTCAAAAGTGGATTTGGGTGTGTACGGTATTCGTGTACGCGGCTCTCACCATCTCTTCTCTGGCGTTCAGCTTGTCCGACGGTGTTAGTACCGGCCAAAGTGGTTCAAGCTCTCAACATGAACCTGAGCTCTCGGCACGCTCACCAAGGGCCTTCGAGCCGTCGTCTCGACGGACGTCTCGCTCCTGAAACTGGTAAAAGTTTGTTTTCCCCCTCCTTTCCTTTTTTCATTCAAACGTAAATGTTTCGTGGCGCGCCGGTTGCGTTCGCGGAGGCTGAAGAAATGGTCGATTGCGCGTGTGTCCTTGCAGATGGTGTCTGGAAGTTCCCGGCGAGCGGGCCCTGCGCTCAGCCGCGGCGGAACCTCCGTGCGCAGCCGGTGATGGGCCATGAAGTCCGGCTACCGCAGGAGTGGACGTATTGATGCTCTCACGGTGACTTCCATACTAGGGTTTTTATTCTGGAGGAGGAAGCTGTTAGTATTAGGAAGGAAGATGGAAGGGGAAGACATAGGGTTCTTTCTATTTTTAATATTTAGATTAGGACGAATAATTGGATTTTTACCGCAACAGTGCAAATTGAAGGAAAGAAGGGAAGGAGGAAAGAGATGGGGCCGGGGGGAAGGGAGGGGAGGGGACACGTCTTCCGTTTTTTGGGGGTTTTCGGGAAGCGTGAAGGAGAAGAGAAGACCGCGGTCAACGGGGGTGTGTTTTCGCATTTGTAGGTCTCTCTGATGTTATCCTTTTTTTTTTTTTGCGGGTTTTGGGGGGGTAATAAGGTCATTTGGAAATGCAAAGGGTTGGGGGGTGGGTCCCATTGTTTTGTGAAGGGGAGGTCACACAGCCCTTTCTTCTTACTACATATATATATGGAAAAGAATACATTATGTGGAATGCTCCTTTATCGCGCGATGGATTTTACCATTATGCCCCTCGGCACCTCTTTGACCGCATCGCGTGCGTATGTGTATGTGTATGTGTATGTATGTATTTGAGTGAAAGTTGGGTTGGGTGTCGTGTGTTGGGTTGGGCGGGGGGGGTGGGGCGGGGCTTTTAGCTGGAGATTATCGTGTGTCGTGCCGGTCATCACTGTAAAGCGACAGAAGAGCAAGTTTCTCGTATCTTGGAGAGTGGAAAATGGGAACACACTTTGTTGAACGTAGTGTCGGTTTTTCATTTTCTATATTGGAAGAGGTGAACGAGAGGGGGGAATAAGATACTAATTTAGCCTCTAGCACTTTCTTTTGCCCCCCAACCGAAAAAAGAGAAAAAAAAACCCTAATGTTATGTTTAACGAAGCCAGCCACCATTAATCCACGGGGGCTACCGTTAAATGGGACATCCATGGATTAATTGACTCGTGCATTGTTCGCTTTGTCACGTCCTATGCTATCTTATACTAAATCTTGCTAAAGACATTAAAAACGCTTTTGTAAGTTAATTATAATTTTGACATACATATTCCATGTACTTCTAATGTTCGATGAGTAATTCCATGTACTTCTTCTAAATGTTCGTTGAGTAATTCGATTTATTTCTGCTCTATTCGTCATTACAGAAGTCTATTAGGAGCTACTCTTAGTTCAAACCCTCCAGCACTGGCCGACAACATCATTGACTTTCACCATGACCGTTTCCATGGAACGACTTTCTTCTCTCTATTCGTGGCACACATTACATAGTTACCAATTTCTTTATAATTTTTTTAGGAGAAATTATCCAATGAGTCTTAAATATATTGTGCGAATGCCAATTCAGACCTATACTTTTTAATTTTGCCAAATGAGTTGTAAACCTTTGCGCAAAATTTCAAGTAGTCTTTCCAATCAATAGATTTAGGACTTATTAGATTAAATTGACGTATGTACAATACGTGTGGTATTGGTTGGACAATTTTTCCAAAAACCGAAAGATAAAAGTTTGTACAAACATCTAAACAAAGAAAGTGAGAGGCAAGGACGACCAAAGTCAGATCGACCCATGTGAAATGTGCATTTCAATAATGTCGTTTCCTTTGATATATATATATATCATCCCTGTTGCACATTTAGCTCCCGTTGTCTACAGAATGTTTTCCGTTGTCTACAAAATGTTTTCCAAGATGATAGGCCATTTCGTCCTAAAAAAAGGAGGCATAACGAGTAGTAGAGGTTTTACGTAACAATCATAATCATATAAATTGATGGGACAAGGATAAAACATGATAAACTACTAAATATCAAAGACCCATCAAAGGAAATTTCTCCAACTATAAATGGAGGAAAGCATGACTCTTCTTGATTAAAAAATTTAGTAATCTCCTCATATTATATATCGATGCTAGACCATGCAAATGTACTTTCTTTTTAAAAACAAATTGCTATTTTGATACACGTGATATTTACATGATCTGATAGCTCATGTGCGTTGAGCTTGCGTGAAATGATGCATGTAAGAATTGCTCGTGTTGTAGGAATGAATTTGTTAAGGATAATCATGTCGATTATTCGATTTGTATATTGATTTATGACAACATAATAAAAATAATTCATGGTTTTAATTATAACTTTCCATCTATTTCAGCCTCTAGTTACATGAAACCACATTATTTTATATATCAAATTTGCGTGCTTGCATGATACTCGCATGTAACATAAATTTTTTGCGTATTTACCTAATACTTTCATGCATTCTTTTTTTTGGGAAATCAGACCGTCATTTCATTGCCACGCTAGGCCGCACTAACCCACTCAAACAAGCTAAGCAGCGCACGTGCCAGACGTGGGGGGCAGGAGAGGGCGGCACGTGCCAGGACCGGGACGCGTGAAAGTATCTTGGGGTAAAGGGGAGATCGCGAGCCCGTGACCGTCCGATTCAACGGGGCGTCGCGCGCGTGGGGACCGCCATCCCACGTGGCGCCCGTCGATCGGGCTGGTGATCGCGGATATTTCTTTTAAAAACGGGGGGAAAAGAAGGAAAAGAGAGCGAAGGGAAATAAAAAATAAAAAACCGGTTGTGCCGGTGGCCTCCCTTCCGGCCGTTTCGTGCAGGCCGGACACGTCCCCACGCGCGTCCGCCCATCGGTGCTCTGGGGCTACGCCCACGCGCGGGGCTCCGTGGCGGGTCCAGCGCGTGGCGGCCACTCCCCGGTTTTGTCGTCAGTCCTTCTTTCCTTCCGGGGGGTGCGTTTGGTGTGCTTCCCTTTTGACTTTGGGGTCGTTGATTCGCTCGCGCTTGCCAAAATTCTTGTCCGTTCGATTTTGTCCGTTTCGCTGCCACTAAAACTGGCCGTCCTTTTCTCTCTTTCGGTTGTTCTTTTTGCTCCTTTAATTTAAGCTTAAGATTTACTTTGTCTTATTTAATAATTCCTTTCCTTAGCACATAATCTGTGGTTTGTTCATAATCTGTGTCGTGTGACTTGAGGTTTGTTATGTCACGTCGTATTCGAATTTTCAAATCGTTTTAAATATCATTGGTTATAGATGTTTTGTCACTGAACGAATAAGTTACCCTTATTATGTTGAGGAATTGATGCACTTACAGCTAAAATGTGGAATGTCGATAAGAAGCACTTGATAGTGAAGGCGAGAGTGATCCCGACGAGAGGTTGTTAAGGTGGCCGAGAGGCAATGAACAGTGAAAGAACCCAAAATCACAAGGACATAGAACAAACATCCTTAACTATTTAAGCCTAACACCTTGTTCATTTGGAAATGCTTTTTCTGTGCTCTTTAACTTAGCGTGTGAATTCGAACTTCATTGGCTCTTCTTTTCTATAGAATGGTCATTCGAAACAATTTTACGTGCTAGGGAAAAATATTACGCCGGTACCGATATTAGATTGAGTCGAGTACAAGAAATAGCCGCACTTATGCTTAACCTTGTCTTATCTAGGAAGCCACATGAATATCAAATATTTATGTAGTTTAATCTTGTAGATATATAGTTTTGTCATCATGTAATATTCGAAATTTACATAAAAAAATACATGTATCATTCACGGTTATGATTTCTCAAAATATTTAAAGAGGGCACGAATACATGGGTTGATTGCAGATATATATTTCGTGATGCGACGATCAAAGTAGAAATCGCTCTAGTTTAGTGGCAGGATCCTAGAATTTCCATAAATTCTTGGGATGATTTAGAAAGATTTTCGCAAGTGAGCTCGGAACGGGGCTCATTAAGAAATGCCTAGCAAGGTCTATACTTGACCTTTTCTAGTGGCACACCATTTGCAAATCTCCCTACGACAAGATTGTCGTGTGGCAATATATCGCTCACTAACCATACCAGCCACATCCCTAGATGCCTCGCTCGTTTGCTCATTTTGGCGACCCAAAGACAAGAACACCGACATAGTTCTCTCACACGGTGGTCTCACCTCTCCTCATCGACTTAGTTTTGCCCTACAACACCCCTTACTTGTCACCCAGCACTAGAGCCTCCTAGGATTTTCTACTACTCATCTCACACCCTCTCTACTTCCTTCTATTCATGGGCATTGCTCGTGTGTGACCCTAAATCTCCATTGCAGTAAGGAATCGAGTGCGAATCTCGAGACAAGGTCCTCTAAAAATCTCTTCTACAATGATATTAATAGGACGACTATAGAAGATTTCTTTTATTGACACAAAGTTTAGAGTTTCTTGCCATCTCATTGACCAAAATAGATTAATCATGTTAGCGTGATTCTCCTCTTCATAGACGCATCCAAAACTAAGGTTGTTCAAGAGCTTGAATTCATCTTTATGCTGACCCCAACAAAACAATAGGAATAGTCATTGTCAAGATCTACCCGATGACTGTCCTGCCTATTCATGCCTCTCGCATGCGCATTCGTCTATTCGAGATTCCAAATGTCTTGGAACTATCCACCTTGTCCCGGAGCTTATGTGCATCTGCAATCTGCTTGATGGATAGTTTAACTTGTGCAGCCCATCCATAAGCTTGGCCGTTGACCCCTTATTTAATTAATTGTTCATTTGACAAAATTAAATCAGGAATTGGGCTGAATATATACTTGCACCAACTCTTCACCAATAAGTCTAATAGAACATCCGAATTCATTGCAAAAGAGCATTGATTAACAAGATCACTATCCAAGCTCCAGAAGGACTTGTCATACACCTTTAATCGCATAAATTTTGTTACCTAGTTAACAATTTACAAAGCTTAAACTGTTGGACAACGAGCCAATGATGTATCAAATTGGAAATGGGGAAATATTCTAGGGTTCTTCGGTTTACCATACAATTTTTCTAACTACGACACTTTTGCACTTAATTACGAGGATGTGTCTAAATGTTATAAAATAATCATATGACATGTTACGAATTTTTCTTTTTACTTAATAATGAGGATATGTTATAAAGTTGTAAGGTATAACGTATGTATCATGAAAGTGCTGTGTTAACACAGAAAACGTAATGTAGACATGATTCTATCATTTCTATGAAGTAATGTAATGGGTAGTTCCTAAACTTTTTTTTTCGATCTTTGATATACTCCTTAAACTTTTTTTGTTTGATTTGGCCCCTGAAATTTTCGAATTGGAGAAAATAACTATTGTAAGGTTGTTGCAATCATCCAAGAGGGGAGACAATGAGGCGG